TAATTCCTATAGTCTTGATTGATCCACTTGTAACCATGCCTAGGAAGGATCTACTAGTGCCGTGCTAAACAGCTACGGGCTAGCCTATTTGCCACTCATAGCAAACCCAGGGAGGTTTGCTTTCACCTACGGTACATGGAACAACTCATGGAACCACCGATAGGCTAACATTAATCCTGCCAACTCAAAGTGTAACCTCGAGTTGCTAATGTGCCTCACTCACGAGCTCAAGCTTAAACTCGTGCTACCGGAACAACTCAAATCCATCCTATGAGCCCAAGTGCAAGCTCACATCATAAGGTACAATAAGGTAACAATATCCATACCCAAGGAACCAATTGCCAAGCCTTTGCACCCAAACGTGTACCCACTTGGATCATCATTTTCATCTCTGCGTATGCAACGAGACTAGTTGCCCAATCTCATTGAATAGTACTCGCTAAGACTCATCCTCTGATACCAAATGTAGCGCACGTGGTTTTGACCCTTTATCCTATGGTGATTTACCATAGGATAACACCACGAAGCGGAACCTAAACCCTCTTTGTGCCACGACGTGTCCGTGCCACGTGTCCATAGGAACCTGAGGTTCAAGGCCTTGGGCCACTGAACGAAGGAACGGTGCCAAACTCCTAAGCGTGACGCCAAGGAGTGATGGAACCGGACCACGGAGCAACTCCCGAGCATATAGCCCAAGGAGCGAAGGGACAGGAGCCCGGAGCGACTTGGAACAGTCCTGGAGCAACTAGCATCCCAATGCCAAGACCAGCACGCAAAACGGAGCCAAACGGAGTCTGGCGCTATTTCAGCATACCGGTGGCCTAACGTGAGGATATGGGTACTCCACCAGCTAGCATGGAATGGAACTTGGGTTTAGACCCAAGCCGGACGCAAAACAAGGACAGGCACACAAGCGGGAGCTAGATTATGCCTCAAGTTGGTCGGCCATGCTCGACCTACCCACTATCCCTACTATACATTTGGAACCCCCTATAGCCCCCCCCCTTGAGAAACACACGCTTTGGGCTTTCACCCCAAGCCTCCCTTAGTATTAGGAGTTAGTCTCTGGGATAAACTCAAAACTTACTAAATATGGAATGTCCTTAGATTGCGAATTTGGACACGGGACGAACACTATTGTGTTCAGGCCGATCTCTACATTCCGTAGATATGCCAAATGAGCAAATCTGGACACTTTCCATAAATAGCATTTGGGACCGAAATAAGACTAACACAAAGGGCATGATAGCGAGGGTGTTTGGCAAACACGATAAGCTATCATCCAGCGATATTGAGGGACCAATCTCAATACGCGAGGGTTCTAGCCAAGCCAGTGCAAGACAGAGCAAAAGAGAACTAAGAGCCAGGCCGAGAATGCTCAGCTAGAAACACATAGGAGTTCCTACCTTATGTTCATCTGGCTAAGTACAGATGCTAAGCCCAGTAAGCTAACACTTGGACAAGAGGGGCTAATAAAGGGAACCAGCAATACCGACCTCCTACCATCGTGGCAGTAAGGTAAGAGTGTCCGTAAGGACTAGCCGACAGGTAACTTTCGATACCTGAAGTCACATTCGCGACAACTGTAGTTAGGATGCTATAATTGGAGGAGTCTTTAATATCTCTTTGAGATCCATAAATACTTGCTTGCAATCCATAAATCAAATGTATTAATGACTTTAAAAACACTCATAATGGTGTAATATAATAAAAAATATAATCAATAAAATAATTGAAATATTACACATTACCTAGGAAACACTTCATATCATTCATATATTTTGGAGTAAGGAACTTTAGAACAATTATAAATTTATGAGGATCAACATATAAACCTTTATAAGAAATATAGTCTTTAGACCCAAATATACATTTTGATCACTTTAGCTTTAAATTAACTTCTTGTAATCAATTCAACACATTGCGGATATCACAATGTATACACAATTGTATAGTATTAAGAAATTGCACCAATTTCTGCTCTAGAGTTAGAGGAGGAGGAGGCTACTACTCTACCATGAAGATAAATGAAAAGTAAAAGAAAAAATGGAAAAATCTACAAAAGTAATAAAGATCTAGACAATGTAAAAGTTAAATCTATACAAATTCAATCACTCTTGAGATACAATAAAAAATGCCTTTCATCTTCACCAATATGAGTGCATGGATACATAAATGTGCATATTTGTTTAGCGTGAAAACCTTAACTTATATATTGGAGTGAAGGCTAAATTTATAAAACATGTATATACTTTTGCCAATATCCTATAAGGACTAGCACAAACACTGGGTGTGCTGCCTTATAATGGAGTTACTTAGTGAAATTCTCCCTTATCCAAAGTGACTCTAAGCCTAAAGTAGAAATAGTTGCAGTTGCCTTTGCCATACCAAATCGAAATCCCCCTTCAGATAAACTACAGGATCAACTCTAGGGGGCACCATCTTTAGCAAATCTCTTTCTTATCTCCATCAACAAAATATGGTAGCTAAGCTTTCTACCACTCCTCAAGCCTCGTTGGCTTCTCCTTGTTCCAGAGGATGGCATGGTGTGGCCTAACTGCCATTAGCATGAGTCTCCACCAATCTACCATCACCACTAATACTTAGACTTGGACCCTGTCAAAATGAGCCCCAATTGCATGCTCCTCATAAGGCCTATCACATGCCATACCACCCATCTAGCATGGCCCAAAGCCTCCCACACAAAGACCCCTATCTCCACACTAGTCTCATCCCAATGGACTTGGATCCCCCAACCATGTCATCTCTTGCATTTGATGTGTTGCAAGGCCTCTTGCTCCCTCAAACTAGTTAATCATATCTCTATTGTAAGCCTCAAATTCCTGTGTGGTGCCTAAATCCTTCCCTACCTTGAGGTTTTGTTGCCACACTTCTTTTGCTACATCACACTCCTACAACGTGTGGCTGACCATCTTAGTCTCACCATACTCCTTGCATTTATGACGCATCATTTTAGAACCACTATTTGACTAAGAGTCTATTGTTGGCAACTAACCATAATGTGATTTTCACTTTTTCATATATGGGGAGCTTCTAGAAGTTCACTGTGTTATGCGCCATCTATTCCGTATTCATCCCTTGCACTATCCACTTCTGCCATAGCTTTAGGATTTCCTCCCTCACCTCCTCTCTGGATGTCATCAACCGGTTGTTTCATATGAAAAGAAGTCATTTGTGCAAGGTTTGGATTAAAATCAATCTAATGGCTATCAAAATCTAATATTAATGTATGTATTTAAAAATTCTCTAAATTTAATAACCTATTTAAGGGTTACAAATAAACTTAGAACTATTAAGTTAAAAATTTAACCATTCCCCAAAATCACAAATAAGCACTACTAATTTAGTTTAGGTGGTGAATTTAAGGAACCAGAACAGATTTATCATCTACATGCCAAAACTACTTTGAAATGTGCAAATCCTTGTAACACCACCAGGACATATGTCCACAATCTGTGTAGCACACAAAACAAGGGGAAGGAAAGAAAACTCACTATATGGGGCTGCAATTAGATTAGGCTTGAGAAAGCTGAGATTACGTGAGCTGTAAGAACTTCCATTTTGGACGCATAGGAGAATTGCATGCTATAGAAACTTTGAGAGCAGCTAATGCTATGTTGGAGCTATTACTATCTCATCAGCTAGATATTTAATAAGATATATTTGAGCAGAATGTACAGACTTGTGGTCATGTCTACTACTCATGGTGGGCGCTTTTGAGTCTAGTGACGCTCAACCGTGTGGACTGGATCGATAAACAGAAGCTCAGAACTTTCATTCTTGAGCCGGGTAACTATAGAGGCCTTTCACCTCTTAAAAACATGGTCCAGGACACTGATGAAGGCAGCCAACTGCTTGTTACAAGTCCATCCTTTCCGATCTTATCCAGATGCCACACCTTGTGCATATTTGATAAATGAAGTTAAAGTCTTTGCACTTCGATACTTTCTCCTTCAATCGACTTTGTGTGATCTAGTGGTCCTCCACATGCCACTGTCAGTTTTTCTTCAGTTTCGCAATTTGGTCTCACCAACCTTCTCCCATCCGCCTTGCAACCTCTTCGAACACCACTTCCTCATGTCCTTGCAGCCTCAAAAGTAGATATGGCTGCCTCCTTGAAGATCTACTTGGGTTACTGTCGCATCAAGGGCTTACAATCGTACAAGAAATTACTACAAACGCCCGCCTCTTCCTCCCAGTTTGCGGATCAACACCGATCACTCTCTTCAGCATAACCTCGCGCTCCTCAGATCGTCGCCATACCCGGAAGACGCAAGGGAGTACAAATGGTATGGATGGCGCGCCTGGCCTCTTTGAATTCTCGCCAGGGGAGAGAACTCCATAGCTTTGGCCTTCTCAGAATGGAATAGTAATCTCTAGAGGTCAATGAACATGTAGAGCAAATTGGATTTTGATATCAATTTCGAAAAACACCCGTTCAGCACCCCCTCCTCACAGAATAGACCTTGGATCTGTCCCTCATGATCCTAAACTTGAAATTGTACCATTGAATAGTTCATTGTTAAGGCAAGAGTTCATTGTTAAGATCAAAAGGAACTATGCACCTATTACATATTTATATTATATTGTGAAAGAACCTAAACTGTCCGTATCTAACCAATTGAGTTGGACATATGTACGATTCAATCTCAACATGTGGAGCCCAATGGACCAATGGGACCAAATTGGTTATATGTCATGAATGGGCATCACGAACGGGCAGACAATTCCATTTTAGATGTGTCATTCTACCTTGCATCTTGTCAACTACGCAATGGAGGTGCTGTGGGGGTCAGTATCTCAAGGACAAGGTCTACTTTATCGACACAGTGTTCCCCTAGCTAATCAATATGAACATGTGGTGTACCTCTAGCCAACCAATTGATTTTTCTTATTCCTTTTTAAGGTGATAATGTTTTTTTTTTCCAATATATAAAGAACTTCAAAGAAGGTTCATTCATCACTTTTGTAGCTGAGAGATGGAAGATGTTTTGGCTGAAAAATTGTCAAGAGTTTGCAAGTTCGATTTGCCATTCATCCCTTGTAGCATTCCCTTTGAATGCCATCCTGATTTTACTAGGATATCCAAAGATACTGATGCATGGGCTCTTAGAATGTTGAGTATCACTGATCCATATGAGAGAAAGAAAGCTCTTCAGGGAAGACATAGCTTGTATAGCCCAATGATTATTCCAAGAGGGGAGAGCAGCAAAGCGGAGCTTTCATCAAAGCATACATGGACTATGTTTGTTTTAGATGACATTGCCGAGAATTTTAGTGAGCAAGAGGGAAAAAAAGCTATTGATATTCTTCTTGAAGTTGCTGAGGGAAGCTATGTCTTAAGCGAAAAAGAGAAGGAGAAGCATCCTAGCCACGCCATGTTTGAGGAAGTGATGTCGAGCTTTCGGAGTCTCATGGATCCCCCACTGTTTGCTCGCTACATGAATTGCTTGAGAAACTATCTGGATTCTGTGGTGGAGGAGGCCTCTTTGCGAATTGCCAAATCTATTCCAAGCCTCGAGAAGTACCGGCTGCTCCGGAGAGAGACAAGCTTTATGGAAGCAGACGGAGGCATTATGTGTGAGTTTTGCATGGATCTCAAGTTGCATAAGAGTGTGGTGGAATCCCCAGACTTCGTAGCCTTTGTCAAGGCAGTGATTGATCACGTCGTTCTTGTCAATGATCTCCTTTCCTTCCGACACGAGCTGAAAATCAAGTGCTTCCACAACTATCTCTGTGTCATCTTTTGCCACAGCCCGGATAATACAAGCTTTCAAGAGACTGTGGACAAGGTATGCGAAATGATCCAGGAGGCCGAAGCCGAGATCTTGCAACTCCAACAGAAGCTGATTAAGCTGGGCGAGGAAACTGGGGACAAAGATCTGGTGGAGTATGCAACATGGTACCCTTGTGTGGCATCTGGAAATCTTCGCTGGTCATACGTCACAGGACGCTACCATGGACTTGACAATCCGCTGCTGAATGGTGAACCATTCCAAGGAACCTGGTTTCTACATCCAGAAGCCACCCTCATCTTGCCATTGGGATCCAAATGCGGCAATCATCCATTTATCACGATTTGATTTTATGTCTTTGGGAAATGTATTGTGTTCTATAATAAACTGGAATTGTTTTGAGTTCTAAAATTAAATAAAAGGAGAAACAGGGTTTAGTGAACGTAGGCTCATCTATCGCGGTTTCGTGCAAATGTGTCTCCGGGGACTTGCTCACTGCCATAAGAAGTGGGTTAATCAACGAGAATAGTGGTCCTCAGCTCACTCCAAATAGCGCCTTGTTTCAATGTAGACAGTGTTATTTAAGTTCCAGAAAAACTGACTGCCTTCTCGGCCCTCGACCATCTCCCTGATCTCAGCCTCGCCATTCACTTGAACGGGCAGGACTTCTTGGCCTCGACACAGCAATAGCGCTCGGGCATTGGAGTGATCTCAGTAAGTGCCAGTAAATTTTTCCTAATGCAGCAGTAATTTAATGTTTCTCCTATGTAACACTTGTGTTTAGTGAGATAGTAGATGTCTTGACTGAAAGACTGGCTAGAGTACAAGCTTGATTGATTCTTCATCCCTTGTAGCATTTTCTTTTGAATGCCATCCTGAATTTATTTAGGATAGGCGAAGCTATGCTAGAGACAAAGGAGACAGAGGAGACAGAGAAAAAGAAGAAAAGAAGTGGAGTGGTTTACTTGTCTTTAGACTGGAAAACTCATCAAGAATGGGGGCTGGAATCGATTCTGAACAATGCTTGAGGCCTCAAACTCTCAATCCCGTTGCAAAGCTCTCGGCATCAGCACTCAAATCAAAATGAAAAAAACCTCGATCTTGCTTACGAACCCGCCTCACGTCCTGGACACCTCATGAAAACTTTGTGAGAAAATAAATAGGTGGATTTCTTCTTTTGATTGTTGATCATATAGCCTCTCTGTGGCTTTCTTTTTCGTGTGGTGCTGTGTGAATTGGCATCTTGTGAGTAACTACCGACCAGCCCTGTCAAACAATGTGTCAATGGCACTTCCAAATGGCACAAGAGGAGCAAAGAATTTCAGATTATTAATCTTTTTGAATGTTGACAAATCGCAGGTTGGTGGCAGCCTTTAAGATTTTATAACTTGTGAGCTGTTAGAATCAAACTTTGTAGCAAGGTAGCTACTAAGTGAGATGAAAGATGTCTTGGCGTTTGGAGTGCCTTCTACCCTTGTAGCAATCCCTTCGAATTTTACTAGGATATCGGAAGTTACTGATGCAACGGGCTATGAAGATCCACTGCCTCTCACTAAGAGGCTTCCTCCACCAAAAGAATCCAGATAGTTTCTCAGCAAAATCATGTAGCAAGCACCAGTGGGGGATCCATGAGACTGTAAAGCTCGACATCACCTCCCTCAATCATGACAAAGGGCTTCTCTTGTTCACTAAAGACAGTTTTCCTCTGCAGCTTCAAGCAGAATATCGGCAGCATTTTGCCTCTTACCTCTGCAATGTTATCAAAAACAAAAAAAATTCATGTCATATAGTCCACAAGAATTTCTTTCTTTTCTATCCGTGATCTAAAAGGAATGAATGTTCGGAATGTTGTGTCCTGGATGGCAGCGAGGAGCAATCCAGCTGCCCAGAATATTCCGCCAGAAGGCCCTCCATTCTGCTCGATTCTTGTAGATCTTCTCTGTGCCATACTTCACTACATTTTGCGCGCAGCTGTGAGCAAGAGATTTCCTGTCGACGATGTAGATTGCTTGATATCTCGACAGATCGCGAGCTCCTCTACAGATATTTCGGAGAGTTTCTCATTCGTTTCTTGCAAATCTCCCCATCGTCGGTCGATCGCTCGCCACTCCATCGATACAGGTAATAAGCACAAGCTCTCCAAAATCTCTACAACTCCTACGGCAGGAATCAAAGTCGGTATAGAATAAGGATATTAAGCAGGAGATCTGATCGCTGGCGCTGAAACTGGTAAGTTGTGACAATCCAACGCATGGTAACTGCATGACTTCATGGAGCATGTGTACAATGAGTTTCTTCTGCGCATCTCACGAGCAGGAAAGGAAAGGAAGTGCGTCTATGAGGAATGGCAATTCATCACCTTGGGAGGTAAGTTTCTTTGGTGGAGATGCTCAGAGTGATGTTCTTTTAAGCATCATGCGTGTATAGCTCCGATACCATGTTGGAAGATGGATCTAGACAGGCCGGGGATTGAACCTTGGACCTCCTACACCAGTGCCATGAACTGTGTGCATGTTCAGCTTAGTTCCAACATGCTCTAATTCACAGTGAAATAAAATTCTCAATCTACTGTGAAAGGTAAGTCCTCAAATTTTCAAACAACTGACTATGTCTAACATATGTCCAACAGCATGCACTGGAAACCCCATGAATGAAACCACAGAAAAAATATACAATAAAACACTTACACTTCTGAGGTTACTATGATTTTATTAGCAGGATATTTATAATCATGAAATTAGTTTCAATCCAAACCATTTGTTACTATATATAAACTAAAATTTGAATATGAATATTTTTATATTCTATACATTGACATTAGTTGAGGTGATGGGAAGCCTTGATTGTTTTTGAGGAGTGTTTCTTGTTTGAATCTAATTTTTGTATTATCTAGATTATTTTTATTCTTGTAGCTTTTTATTTTTTTTTCTTTTGCTTTTTCTTCATAGCTATTCCTCATTTGTCCTTTTCCTTTGATTTTGGAGTAGTAATTAGTGCAAATGATCAATTGAAATCAATTAATAGTGGTATTCACAATATACAATGTAGTTCCTCCAATCCTCTCATTTGTTGAATTCCTTCTATAGAAATTTTGAAGATAATATGTATTATTAGTTTGATCACTTTATAGTGATTGGCATTTATCATTTTTAGGATGATGCTTAGCTTCTGTTTGAGTTTCTTACATATTTTCAAAGGACAATAGTAGTATAATAGTTTGAGCATAGCTACTTATGTAGATTGAAGCCTTTTCTTGAATTTTTTCAAATGTATATTGGAACATGTTGACAACTATATTGATAATTTTTAACAATTGCATTATATTTGTTAGAGGCTACCTAAGTTAGTTATGCAATTTAGTGTTCGCTTCCAAAGTCTTTTATTTTGTGTAAAGTTATATATATAAAAGTGGATCAAGTTAGGCATATTATTGTTATATATTGTTATATACAGAATAATATCACATTGTATTTCTACAATATAAAGCTTCTTAGTAATACGACAATGTCCCACATGCTTGCATATAATAGAAGAGTCATAGTAGGTATGGAGTGAAATAAAGACTAAAAGCACCACTAATCATAAATGATTATTAGAATTAATTTCCATAAAGTAAAAGTTACCCTTAGGCAATATTAAGAATGTAAAACAATAAATCATTAGTAAGTGATGTAGAATTTTTAAACCCATCATAAAACCCACTCAGACATACGGAAGTCAGGTACTTATGTGGCAAATAAGCTATTCATGAAGGAGTGGGTGGCACAGCTGTCCATGCAGACTTTAGATCCATGGATAAACCTTTTAAGTTTTACAAACTTTGTCAAAAGAAGATAAATTTTGTTTACACTTTATGGATATTAAACATTCATTGACAATATGGATCCTCGTCTAGAAAATCCACAAATGCTAAAATACCAAACTTGTTAAGAATATGGGAAGAAAGTGAAAAAGAAAAAAGAGCTTAAGAAAGGGCTTTATAATCAGCTATAATAATTTCTAATCAATAAACAACTTCAAAATTATAAATCTTAAGTTTTGAGTAGTATGACAAATTAAGTTTTTCTTCTTTAATAATGAAGTAACCATAGTATGATCACCTTCTAATAACGTTTGTAAACCATACAAATATGCATAAAGCTTCTTGAAAACTATATAAATATTATTGCTAAACACTATTTCTTTGTTGGAGAGTAATTCATCTCTACTAATTGTAATATATAGCTGATGTACGTAATGTTATGACATTGACTAGTATAAACTCTTGAATTTAGACTTCCTGAGAGATCATATAACACAGTACTATTTAAACTCAAGGATATTTAATCCTAAATACCCCAAACTCTTAATCAATTGGAAAAAAGGTACATTTTACTTATAAGCAAAATCTCTTGTGTCATTTTTTTTTTGTTTATATAGATATACTTATGCTTTTTTGCATTAATACACCCCAAGATCAATATCATAACTATTCACATACAAAACAAGTGTAGTTAAAATATGCCAAAATTGGAGGAGTCATCAATAACTCTTTTAGATCTGTAAATGCCCATTTGTTATCCTCAAATTAAATGAAAAATGATGTTGATGACTTTAACAATGCTCATAATAGTGTAATAAAATAAAAAATATGATCAAAAAATAATTAAAATATTACACTTTACTTAAAAAGCACTATATATCATTCACACACTTTGGAGTAAAGAGCTTTAACACAACCATATGTTTATCAATATTAACTTGCAAATCTATTTGAGATATATAATATTCAAGATGGAAAGAAGATGATTTACGTGTTTGATCCTTCATCCTCGACAACTCTCTTTTCAGCCTCATCTTTAACTAAACCTCCAACACTTTGTAAATATCATGGATGACTTTGGACCCAAACACACATTTCGACTGCTTCATCTTTAAATTAACTTTTTGTAATTTATCCAACACTTTGTGAATATCATGGATGTGCTCCTTCTATATCCCTTTTGAGTGGATCAAGACATCATTGATAAAGTTAATAGTTACCTTTGGCATATCATAAAAAACCTCATCTATCATTTACTAAAAAGTCACTAAACCATTGTTTAAACTAAAATAGCATTACCAAAAAATTATATAAACCAAATGGTGTACGAAAAACAATTTTGAGAACATCTTCCTTAACTATTAGCACTTTTTAGTAACTAAAAGTAGATATAACTTTGAACTAACAACTTCTCCCTAAACAATTTAAAAAATCAGTAGTATAAGGAAGAGGATACATAGTTGATCACTTTGTTTAATGAGCGATAATTGATGTAGAATTAAATACTTCCATTAAGCTTCATTATAAGATGAAGTTTATATACCTAAGGACTTAGTGACTTCTAGATAACACCCTTTTTTAATATTTCTTTGACATGTTAAATCTTGATTTTCTTTGGTGACTAATGCTAAACTGAAACT